CTCCTGCTCCTCGTCAGCCTCCTCATATCCCTCCTCTGGGGTGGGGCGAAGGGTGTGGCCGTTTGAGAACCCAGACGCGCCCGCGTCGTGAGAGAAAGCTACGACGGGAGGTTTGGCCGCTGTCGGCCTCTGTGGGGCCGGGGCCGCCAGCAGAACGACGCGGGATGCCAAACGGGTCCGAGAGAGATGTAGCCCCCCCCCCGAATCGGTGGCCCGTGTTTCGGCCACGCTCGCCGGACAGCTTCCGACCGCTACCGCGGCTGCTTATGATTTTCGTGCTGCAGAGCTGTCGGCGCGCATTGGCGCGTCATGACCTCCTCGTTCCGCAGCAGGCTGGGCGGCACTTTTTTTCTGAGCTCGGCGGCGGGAGTGTTTCCGCCGTCCCCCAGGTAGCCTCCCCTGACTTCAGGAGACCCCGCATAGAACAGATCAAGACTGCGAACGTCTGGGAAGGCACGGGGGCTCCCTTAGAACCCGTCCCGCCTTCCAGAAGGCCTTGTTGGAAGACTGGCCTCTTCGGAGGCCTCCCCCCCTCGCCCTGCCCTCAGCCTGCGCGCCCTGCCACGGAGGGTTACGCCGCTGAGCGCTGGTGCGGTCGCACTCGGTTCTTTTTTGGGGCATTCGGGCACAGGCAGCGCAGCTCCCCGACGTCTTGAGTTTGTCCCGTGTCCGTGTGGGATCTCCGGAAGGCCCGACCCTGTCCCCAGGATTGGTTCTGCATCCCGAGCCATGCTTTTGGCGGTCCCGTGGCCCGGCGAGGCCTCCCAGAGGCCAGGCATCGCATGCTTGTTGTCCTTCGGGGCTTCTGTGCGCGAGGGCAGCGTGTCTGGGCCTGCAGCTCGCCAGTGGCGCCCAGGTGCACGTGCTGGACGGCCAGGCGGACCCCGGGCGGAGCGTGGCGGTGGCGCCGGGGCACTGCGCAGCACCGCAGGAGGCGGGCGACGTCGCCGAGGGGCTCGAGGCCGGGCTGGGGCGGCTGGTCACCCAGGCTGGCGCTGGGCGCGGGGACGGCCGCGGCGGCGCCTCGACGACTCCAGATCGCCGACGTTGTTTGTGAGCCGGCGAGGCTTTTTCCTAGATCTCGGCCCTCGGGGGCCACCGTCGGGCCCTCGGAGGCCGAAACACGGCCCCACACGTGAGCGGTCGGGACTTCTGGGGTTTTGGGGCAGATCGTATCGGCGGATGTCAGGGACGCCGACGGCAGTGCATGCTCGCATCGATTCGCGTCGTGAAGAGACCATGCCGGGCGGGTTTGGGGCCATTCCCGTCTCTGGAGGTCCTCGCTGGGCCCCCAGGGCTGAAAGACAACGGCTCGGGATGATGCGCACGCGCAGGTCTTGAGGAAAGGGTTGGGACTTCCGGGGACCCCGCATGGACCAAAAAACGTCGGATGTTTGGCCGCCTCCGCCTCGACACCCGACTCGGCCAGATGAGGGGCCCGCGAGGGGCCGGAGGGCCAGAAGCGACGCGCTGCCCCCCCAGGAAGAACTACCACCCCTGGCACGATCACCAGCACTATCACCTACCACCACAGCTGCGGCTGCCAATGCCACCGCCACCACTACCTCCCCGAGGTCTGACGGCACAAAAAAAATGAGACACCCTAGAAAGATCATGACTGGAACTTAGACCCCATCTTTGCGCGGCATTTTTCTGGCAGGATCGATCTCTGAGGGTCCCGGGGTCCGAAACTTGGTGAGAACGGCCGCCTCGAAAGAATTGAGACGCCAGGATCTCAGGGCACCACCAGCACCATAACCACAACGGTCGCGACCACAACCACCACGACCACCTCGTCCACGGCAGCCACGGCCCCAAACGGCGTGACGGCCGATCCACAGTTTCCCTCCCCTCCGTGCCCTCTGCCAGGCCGCCCCTCGCTGAAGGCGGGGGTTCCGCCACTCGTTATGTTGGTGGTGTGTGTGTGTGTGTGTGTGTGTGTGTGTGTGTCTGTGTGGTGGGTAGATCCAGCTTCTGTTTTGTAGAGGTCTCAGAGGAGCGTTTTTGTGTGGGCGATCAGGTCGGGTTTCGAGGCCCAGCTGGCGCCCCCATCATCAGGAGGGAAAAACACACAGGCGCAATTACTTGTCGATTCGTTCGAAAATCTTGGAAAATATGGGAAGTGCGGGGGAAGACGAAAATCCCCAAACATATAAAACATGGGGAATCCTGGGATTTGTGTATATTTATTTGTGTGTCCCTGGGCCCCGTGATGCGAGGTGGTTGATGCGAGGAGAGGTGGTGTTGCCATCCGTGGCCGCCGCAGGCAGTCCCTGTCCAGGGCCTTGCTGTCACTGCTGCGCTTGCCTTGGATCCCTGAATCTCTTTCTAGCTGGAGGGGGGAGCATGACGATCATCAGAAGGAGCATGCTACTGATGATGACGATGATGACAATGATGATACTCATGATGATGATGATGATGATGATGATGATGATGATGATGAGGATGATGATGATGATATGATGATGACGATGATGATGATGATGATGATGATGATGATGATGATCATGATGCTGATCATTCTGATGATACTGATGTTGATGATGATGGTGCTGGTGATGATGATTAATGATGATGATGATGAGCATGCAGATAATGTCGAATATGATGACGGTGGTGGCGATGACGGCGAAGATGGTGATTCTGATGATGCTGATGATGATCATGGTGATGAACCAGATGACGATGATGGTCATGATGATGAGTTTGATGATGGTGGTGGCGGTGGTGATGCTGGTAGTGTTGATGACACTGATGAAGATGAAGATGATGCTGCTGATGATGATGCTGATGATGCTGTTGAGGGTTTTGGTGATGATGGTGATGGTAATGATGATGATGCTGATGATGATGATGGTGATATAACTGTTGCTGTTGCTGTCGGTGGTGATGGTGGCGATGATGATGATGATGATATTGATGAGGAAGATGATGGCGATCGTACTGATGATGCTGCTGATGATGCTGATGATGATGATGCTGCCGATGCTGATGATGATGATGATGGTGATGATGATGATGATGATGATGATGATGATGATGATGAGGATGATGATGATGATGATGATGATGATGATGATGATGATGATGATGATGATGATGATGATCACGATGATGATGCTGATGATGCTGATGATGAGGACGGTGCTGATTATAATGATGATTTGTAGGAGGAGGAGGACGTGTTGGACAACGACGATGATGATGACGATGACGTCGATGATGATGAGGAGAATGCTGAAAAGCAAGAAGTTGAGGAGGAGGAGGAGGAGAAGGAGGAGGAGGAGGACCAAGGTAGGCTCAGGATGCGCCAACGATTCCGTAATACACCGTCCCCCCGTCTCAAGTCTCTTCCTCATGAGTCTTTAGATTTTGAGGGAAACGCTCCCAGAAAGACGAGCGCCACACGGGGTTGTCATTCAGGTGAGAGTCGCCCCCACTGAGAGGGGTGTGTAAGAACAGCCAGATGTGTCGACTATGCTGGCTGACGTCCAGCTGTATCGGTGTCCCCCTCCCTCTGTTCCTCCTCGCTCTGCTATTCTGTTGCAGTGTTCCTCCCAAATGGCGCGGCGCGGAGACCGAGACGTCCGCCGCACTGGAGCAGAGGCTCGCCGAGCTGAGCAGCCAGGCCAGTGGGCAACAAGGGGGGAGAGGGGGCTGGGGGCTGCCTTAGGGAGGGGCAGCGTTAGAGGTGGATGAGCTCCTGGGGGGACGCATCGACCCCCCAAAATCGCCCATGCAGCGCCGAGGGGGGCCCGATGAACCCCGGCTTCCATCGGAGGGCAATCGGCGATGCATCCCCGATTCCACGCCGCTTCGGGGACGGAGGGGCGAGACCTGGGGTCAAGCAAGCGCAGGCATGGATCGGGGCGCGCGGGTTGGCGACGGGCCCCGCTGCCGTGCAGAATCGGCATTGGCCTCATGCTTTTTCGGGGGCGCTCTCCGTAAAGCTGGCGACCACGCGCAAGATCCACGGATCCCCAGTTCCTAGTCCATGTTAGTACGCGCCCGGCTGCAATGGGGGCGAAGGAGAGGGGGTTTGAGGGCAGGTTTGATGGGCTCGCGCCACATCTGATGTCCTACCACTCCACCCATCCCTTCCCACTGCGCCGAATCCTTGTCTGTCCGAAGGCCAGAGAGCCGCAACATAGCCTCATCGTGTGATGTGCAAACAGACAGTTGGCCTTGTTGTACATTCGGAGAAGGCTGGCGATGATGAAGAGGGTGATAATGATGATACTGACGCATCTGATCATGCTGGTGATGATGATGATGATGATGATGATGATGATGATGATTACGATGGTTAACGTGATGGTGATGAAGATAAGTATTAGTATCATGCTGATAATGGTGATCACGATGATGATGATGATGCTGATGATGATGATGATGATGATGATGATGAGGATGAGGATGAGGATGAGGATGAGGATGAGGATGCTGATGCTGATGCTGATGCTGATGCTGATGATGCTGATGATGATGATGATGATGATGATGGTAAGGATGCTGATGCTGCTGATGCTGATGATCATGATGATGGTGATGATGATGGTGATCATGATGGCGATGAAAAGAATGATACTCATGTGGAGCATGATGATGACGATGGTGATGCTGATGCTCATGCTGATGCTGATGATGCGGATGCTGATGATGATGCTGCTGATGATGCTGATGACGATACTGACGACGATGATGCTGCTGCTGACGATGATGATGATGCTGATGATGATGATGATTATGATGATTATGATGATGATGATGATGATGCTGATGCTGATGCTGATGCTGATGCTGATGATGCGGATGCTGATGATGCTGTTGATGATGCTGATGCCGATACTGACGACGATGATGCTGCTGCTGACGATGATGATGATGCTGATGATGATGATGATGCTGATGCTGATGCTTATGCTGATGCTGATGCTGCTGATGATGATGATGATGATGATGATGATGATGATGATGATGATGATGATGATGATGATGATGATGATGATGATGATGATGATGATGAGGGTGATGAAACTGCATATGGTCGAGAGCCGCGGAAACTTCTGGCGTCGTCGGCGAGGCAGGGGTCGTCTGCGCTAGCGGAAAGAGTTAGAACGGGGGCACCGTTGAAGTGAATTGCGCCACCGCGCAGAAGGGGGGAGAGGGCGATGGAGGCGGCCGAAAGAGAGGGCGGGGGGGGGGGGGGCGAGACGCTCAGAGGGGGCAGGCCACGCCCCGAGCGAGGGGCGCGGCCAGCTCAGCCGGCGGGCCCGCGGCGGACGCACCGCCAGGGGGCCAGCGGCGGCGGAGCGCGGCGCGGGGGCGGGCACCGCCCGAAGGGCACGGGTGCCAAGCGGACTGTGCGAAGGCCCGATGGCCGCCCGCCCCCAGGATGGGAGGGCGAAGTTGCCAGCAAAACCGAGGCGCCGGCGGCGGGCGGCAAGACCAAGCCCGGAGGGCCGCGGGGGGGCGGGGCTGCGGGCGGCCCGGGGCGGCGGCTGCAAGCAGCCGGGCAGCGCCGCGGCGGCGCGCGGGGGGAGGGGGGGCGAACGGGGAAGAAAAAGCGAACAGGGAGGAGGACGCCCCGCCTGTGAGGCCCACAGGCGGCGCGGCAGCGCGGCAGTTCCGGCAAGGCGAGAGCCGCGAAAACATCTCGTAATATAAAAACATGGTTTTGCGATAGGGTTTTTTCTAAAAAACATGCTCCCGTTCTCTTGCAAATTCTCGGGACAACTATTATTGTTGTCAACGGTTTCACACGCGTGCCACCAAACGGGCCTCTCGCGCGCGCGTCGGAATCGTTCGAACGCCCTCGCGCGCGCGCCGTCGCAAGAGCCCCCCCAAGAAATGGGGCGAAGTGCGCGGGTGCGTCGTCGCGCGCGTGCCGAAATCCCCCAACATTCTAGCTCTTCTGAAGGAGGTCAAGACCGAGCGCCGCGAGGACAACACCGAACGCCGCGGATCCGCATGCGCTCGAGGTCATGCGGATTCTTCGCCATCAGTTGTCTAATATTGGCGTCACATGTTGCCAGGCTGACCTCTCGCGCCGCATGTCGAGTTCATTCGGACGCCCTTGCGCGCGCGCTTGGGGAAGGGGGGGCCCGCGATCTGCTTCGAATCATACCGCGCGGGCCACTCGCGCGCGTCGGCCGCGCGCGCATGTCGAACGCCTTGAAAAACCTTCATTTCCGACGATAGGACATCGTCATCGTTATCGGCGGGCGTGATCAGCATCGGCGCCGCCATCGCTACTCTCATCATTGTGTCTACCGTTGTCGGCGTCGCCATGATACCGCGCCCGCGCAAGTCACCGACTCGCACTGAAGTGCCCGCTGGGAAATGCCTGGCGGTCGGCGCCACCGCGCCCGCGTCAGCAACGCCGCGCTACGCGACCGTTGCGCGCGCGAGCATGCGCGGGCCAGCGCGGCCGCAGAGATGCACCAGCCAACGCCAAGCATTCATCGCAATCGCCGCCGCATGGTTTTAGCAAACGAAGTTCCGGGTGGGTGGGGTGGGGTTTGTCAAATTAGGTTGGAAAAGCCCGCCACATAAAGACTCTACCCCCCCCCCGGCGTTATCGGACCCCCTTTCGGATATGTAAGCCGTATATGATTCTGACCACATGTCCATCCTAATATGAAATCGCAATGTCAAATGCCAACTGGTATCCCCCCTGATGGGTCCCTTGCAAAAAACACTATGCGGTGACATTGTTTTGTTCTGACATAGCATTTTTTCGCGAATCTCTTGCAACAAATGGGACGAAGTGCACACGCGAGCGTCTTGGCGCGCGCATGCCGAAATCCTTCCAAAACCTTCGGTGCCGGAGAGATTTTGCAATTGAGTTTTCAAAATAACATACAAAAGCACATGGTTTCGCAACACGGATTTGCTAAATCAACTTCCGCGCGAGCTCTTGCGAAATCTTGAGAAAACCATTGGTTTTCAAGATTTTCACAAAACGCTACCAAACGGGCGTCGCGCGCGCATGTCGAAATCAGTCGAACGCCCTTGCGCGTGTGTTGTCGCGAGAATCCTCTGCAAAAGAATGGCACGAAGTGCAGACGCGCGCGTCGTCGCGAGCGTATGCCGAGAACCTTCAAAACCCATCGGTGTCGGAAGGATTTCAAAATCGTGTGTCCAAAAAACCTACAACAAACCAGGTTTCGCAACACGGATTTTCAACAACAGCGTGCGCGCGCGCTCTTGCGTGGTCGTTGTCGTCGTCGTCGTCGCCGTCCTCCCTCCTCCCGCGTCGTCGTCGTCGCGCCTACGTCGTCCTCTGTCTTTCCTCGTGTTCGTCGTCGTCGTCCTCTTTGGCGTCGTTGTCGTTTCCGTCGTCGTTGTCGCCGTGGTCGTCCTTCTTCCTCCTCCCTCGTCGTCGTCGTCGTCCGTCGTCGGCGTCTCGTCGTCGTCCCTCCTATTTCGTCGCCGTCGTCGTCGTCGTCGTTGTCGTCGTCGTCTTCCCTCCTCCCTCGTCGTAGTCGTCGTCGGCGTCGTCGTCCTTCCTCCTTCTTCGTCGTTCGCGTCGTCGCCGTCCTCCCTCCTCCCCCGTCGTTGTCGTCGTTGTCGTCGTTGTCGCCGTCGTCGTCCTTCCGCCTCCCTGGTCGTCGCCTTCGTTGGCGTCGTCGTCGTCGTCATCGTCGGCGTCGGCGTCGTTGTCGTCGTCGAAGTCGTCGGAGACGTCGTCGGTGTCGTCGTAGTCGTTGTCGTCGGTGTCGTCGTAGTCGGTCTTAAGAGGTTTTGCGAACCAAGTTGCGGGTGGGTGGGTGGGATATTTGCGCGAGCAGTGGAGATGACGTTTTCAAGTTCTGCAGAGTGGATTGCACCATATAGATTCTCCTTTCTAAAAGACTAATAGATTTAACCCCCCCCCCGGACTTATCGGTTACCCTGCGCGTGCTGTAAATTACATATGATTCTGACCACATGTCCATCCTAAATATGAACTGATACCATCCCAGCCAAGCCGGGTTCCCCCCCCCTGCGGGTCCCTTGTCAAAAACACTATGCGGTGACATTTTTTGTTCTAACATAACACTTTTTCACGAATCCCTTGCAAAACATTGGACGAAGTGCACACGCGCGCGTCGTGGCGCGCGCATGCCGAAATCCTTCAAAAACCTTCGGTTCCGGAGAGATTTCAAAATTGAATTTCCCAAAAACATATATAAAACACATGGTTTCGCAACACTGATTCAAAAAAAAACTTACGCGCGAGCTCTTGCGAAATCTTAAGAAAACCATAGGTTTTCCAAGATTTTCACAACATGCTACCAAACGGGCTTCGCGCGCGCGCATGTCGAAATCTGTCGAACGCTCTTGCGCGTGTGCCGTCGCGAGAATCCTCTGCAAAAAACGGGACGAAGTGCAGACGCGCGCGTCGTCGCGGGCGTATGCCGAAATCCTTCAAAAACCTTCGGTTTCGGAAGAATTTCGAAATCGTGCGTCCAAAAAACCTACAAAAACACAAGGTTTCGCAACACGGGTTTTCAACAAAATTGTGCGCGCGCGCTCTTGCGTCGTCGTCGTCGTCGTCGTCCTCCCTCCTCCCTCGTCGTCGTCGTCGTCGTCGTCGCCGTCGTCGTCTTCTGTCTTTCCTCGTCGTCTTTGGCGTCGTCGTCG